TCCAAATACATTGGTGGAGATGGATATTTATAGTAACTCATGCTCCAAAAAAGCTAAAATGCATATACAATAAAATGTAAAAATACAAAAAGAAAACACTAAAGAAGGTACATGAGGCAGGATTCTATCAAAATATCTTGTCAAATGACTGTAAGCAATTGATTACATGAAATTTTTTGTAGTAACTGATCTTGGATGTGGCAGTTTGTCCCATGGATTGAGTCTGTTACAGGAAGGCAAGAGTAGTGGGAATCTGAAGACTAATGAATCTAACAAGGTATGCTTGTTTACAGTTATTTATAGCAGCAGGAATAGCAAGAAAATCTAAGGAAAAAATAATGATAGTTAGTGAGTACCATTGTATATATTCAGTTTTTTTTTAATTTAATTTAATTTTATTTTATTGTCGTATTTCTCTGTAACATTAGGAAAATGCTGGAGAAGATGTTGCTGGTGCAAAGAATGAAGTTAAGAGTGACAATCAAGCACCTGAAAACAAGAATGAGACAGAGAAATCCATCCCGGTAACAAAGAAAGAAGGTGAAAATCCAACACCTTCAAAGGCGGTAAGATCAATTTTCTGAGCACCTTAAGCTGAAAAAAACTTCTCACCTTATCAAATCCTACTCATGTAATAGAAAAAAAGAACAAGAAATGAATAGGATCCTTATACATGACTATAGTCATTTGATGGTTTCAACATGGACAATTGATACACTATAATCAACAATTTACTAGTCATCTAGATGGAGGCTGGTTATCTAACTTCTAAAAATAGTATCTTCTTCAAGTCTATTTTCTTTTATTCCCTATCCGATTTTGTGTTCTTATATACTAATTGTTTGTTTGCAGGAAGTTCCTGACAACGAGTTTGAGAAGCGCATAAGACCTGAGGTTATCCCAGCAAATGAAATAGGGGTTACATTTGCAGATATTGGTGCATTGGATGAGATCAAAGAATCACTTCAAGAGCTGGTAATGCTTCCCCTTAGAAGGCCTGACCTCTTCAAAGGCGGGCTTCTAAAGCCGTGTAGAGGTATAATATTGCTTTTTGGGCCTCCTGGTACTGGGAAAAAAATGCTAGCAAAAGCCATTGCAAATGAAGCTGGTGCAAGTTTCATTAATGTCTCAATGTCCACTATTACATCAAAATGGTTGGCGAAGATGAAAAAAATGTCCGAGCTCTATTCACACTGGCAGCTAAGGTTGCCCCAACAATCATCTTTGTTGACGAGGTCGACATCATGCTTGGACAGAGGACTAGAGTGGGAGAGCATGAGGCCATGAGGAATAGGAATATTTTACACCAAACCTTTTAGGTATGTTGTATCATATATGATCAGAATTTTAAGACATTAGAATTTTGTAAATTGGTTGTGAAACTGTATTGCTCATAAAGTTTGGTTCAATTATTTATGTGAATTGTGTCTCAGTGAATGTTTCATATTTACGTGAATTGTCTATGGGAATTCTGGGATGAAGTCACAAAAATGATAGAAACTATTACTATACTCTTAGTATACTACATTAGAAATGATTGTCCTTTCTTCCTAAAGATTTGAATGTATAAAGATAAAATTCATTAAAGTTATTTGTTGTAACTTTCTCCTTAAAGATTTAAATATATAAAGATGTTTCAGTTTATGGAATTGAGGTTATAAATCTTCTAATTAATTTATGTTCGTCTAACTATTTGTCTTGATACTACTAGTCATTCACTCTATTTGATTGTATTGGGATGTTAATGTTAACACTTCTTAGTATTTGAAGGAATGCAACAGAGAAATGTAGCAAAGTATATGTAACAAGAGAAGGAGAGAAACGAGCATTCTTTTCTCATTAACAAACAAAGTATATATGTACAATAGAAACACAGTTACAAAACAGTTAATACCGTTTTAGAGAGTTTTGCTTTTATCTACAACACACCCTTCTAAAACTAAACTCTCTAAAGATTTAATTCCAAGAGAATCCTCAACTTCTCAAACTTGTTTTGCCTTAAAGCCTTGGTAAAAATGTCTGCAACCTGTTCTTCTGTGGGACAATGCACCAATTCCAACTTCCCTTTGCTAACTTGATCTCTTAGATAGTGAAACTTGGTCTCTATATTCTTGCTTCTACCGTGAGAGACGGTTTTTTGATAAGCTGATTGTTGATCTGTTGTCCACCAATAACCGTAATGGCTTACTGTATTCGATTTTCAATTCATCTAGAATCACTTCAAGCCATGCGCATTGGCAGGCAGTCTCTGCAGAGGCTATGTATTCTGCTTCATACGATGAGAGTGCAACAACATTTTGCTTCTTTGAGCACCAAGAAATCGATGCCCCCATATACTTAAACAAGTAACCATAAGTGCTCTTCCTATCCACCTGATCACCACTCTAATCTGAGTCACGCCATGCTTTCAAAATTCCACCTGTGTTGTTAGTCTTCTTGGGAAAGAGAAGACCGAAATCTACAGTTCCCTTCAAATAGCGCGAGATTTGCTTGGCTGCAGCAAGGTGAGTCTGCCTTGGATCATGCATGAATCTACTAATTAATCCAACTCCAAAACTGATGTCAGGCCTGCTGTTACAGATATATCTAAGTGACCCAACTATTTGCTTGAACAGGGTTGCATCCACCTTACTTTCTTCCTCCTGGTTAGACAACTTCAAGTTTGCCATGACTGGGATTGACATGCAATTGCAGTTTTTCATTAACAAAGTATATATGTACAACAGAAACACTGTTACAAAACGGTTAATACCATTTTAGAGAGTTTTGCTTTTATCTACATATTAAATCTCTTCAGAATCTCGTTAACATACCTTTTTTGATGAAGAAAAACTCCATCTACTGTCTGCACAAACTCCAACCCAAGGAAATAACTCAGACTATCGAGATCTTTCATCTCAAACTCTTCTTTCATTTTCAACTTGAATCCTTCAATTGCCTTTGTAGAACTTCTATTAACCAGTAAGTCATCTACGTACACACACACTAACAAGGCCCCCTACTGCCCAACAAGTTTCATGTAGACTCCAAATTCAATAGTGCATTTTTGGAAGCCAATTCTGATGAGCAACGTGTCTATATGCTTATTCCAGGCTCGAGGTGCCTAACGAAGCCCATATAAGGCTTTGTTCAATTTATATACCTTCGACGCTTGACCTTTCTTCACAAATCCATGTGGATGTATCACAAAATCTTCCTCTTCAAGAGGACCATTTAGAAATGTAGAATTGACATCCATTTGGCAAATTTTCCAATCATTAACGTTCGCCACGACAACAACAAGCCTTACGGTTTTCAATCTTGCAACTGGTGCAAAAACATCTGTAAAATCAATTCCAGGTTTCTGTAGGAAGCCCTTTGCTACCAGTCTAGCTTTCAACTTTGTTATGTTGTCATCTGGTTTGTACTTCGTTTTAAACACCAATTTAACATCAATAGCCTGTTTATGCCTCAACAGCTCTACCATCTCCCAAGTTGTTTTCTTCTCAATTGCTCTCATCTCCTCCATCATGGTCTCTTTCCATTCTTTAATATCAATAGCTTGCTTCCACGTGAGTGTTTCAGCATCGGCTAAGAAAGAAAAATGAACAAGATCATCTGAGTATGATATTTCATTGTTTGTAAGAACCTCATGGCCTACGAGTCTGGTTGAATGAAATCTAGCTCTTTGCGGTCTTCTGTTATTGATTTCTGTATTAGTAACAACCTGCTCAACATTATTCGGCTTCTTTTCATCCAACCAGTTAGACACAACCTCATTTGGTTTCAAACTTGCTTCTACTTTCACCCAATCAAATGTAACAACTTCATCTACTAACATGTCTCGGCTGATCCTTGGTTCTTTTCCGGATCATACAACCTGTAAGCACCTGTCAGATGGTAGCCTACTAAGATGAGAGTCTCATTCCTGTCATCCAGCTTCTTCCTTCTTTAATCTGGGACGTGCTTGTAGCAAACCGATCCAAAGATCCTCAAATGATGCACTTCAGGTTTGTTTCCCGACCAAGCCTCTTTTGGGGTGCAGTCTTGCAATGCTTTAATCGGACTCCTATTCAACAATTAAGCTGCAATTGAAACCGCTTCTCCCCATAGATAATGAGGTAGCTTCCTTCCCTTGATCATGCACCTGGTCATATCCAAGAGCATTTTGTTTCTTCTCTCTACTAACCCGTTGTGCTGGGGTGTGTAAGGAGCTATAACTTCATGCATAATTCCTTTGTCATCACATAATCTACCTATTTCACCAGAGTTAAATTCACCTCCACCATCAGTCTTGAAGATTTTGATTTGCAAGCCATATTGTCTCTCCACCATAGAGCAGAATTTCACAAAGTAAGTACATACTTCTTTCTTTTCTTTTAACAGATAAAGCCAAATTATTCTAGACCATTCATCTGCAAAAATTAGAAAATATCTATTACCTCCAAGGGATGACACGTCAAAAGGACCGCACACATCTGAATGCACAACATCCAACAACTATCTTGCTCTCTTGGGAGCGAATCTTTTACACTTCTTCCTGACTTGTTTCCCAATTGCACAACCTTCACAAACCTTGTTCGGTACAATGATCTAAGGAACTCCCTTCGCCAGTCCTTTTCTTTTCAATTGACCCAAGCCTTTAAAATTCAATGTCTGAATCTATAATGCCATAACCATCCTTCATCCTCATCATTGACAACAACAAAACACTATTGAATGTTGACGACATTTAGATTCACCTTGAATGTTCAGTTTCTGGCAAGAGGAGCCTTGATCACTAGACGTTGTCTTTCATCAAACACTACTATGTGCCTTTGCTGCATGACATTGTGTAGCCTTTCTCAAGTACCTGTCCTAGGCTAAGCAAGTTACTCTTCAATTACGGTACATACAACACATTGTTTATGTACGCGGATCTGCCATCTCTGCGTGTGATCAGGACCTTGCCCGCACCTTCTTCCATGATCACACTATTATCTGCAAATCTTACACTCTTTTTACACTCATAGCTAGATCGATCAGTCAATCTTTCTGCCTCCTGATCGTCCCCCTCGTGATCGACCTCTACCTCTTCCAACTCCACGACCCTTGTAGCTTTGATTATTTCTGGCTTGAAAGGCTTGATTTGTGCCTTGAACCACCACCTTTTCCGCATTTCTTCTTTCAACCAATCTCTGCTCATGTTCCTCCTGAGAATTCTGTAATTCCTCGACTCTCATATTCTCAAGATCTTTACATTCTTCTATGGCCAAGACTATATGGTAACACTGTGGGGTTAACATTTTGAGTATTTTCTCCACAATTTTCTTATCTTTCACGACTTTGTCACAGGCTCTCATGGCGTTCACCACTACTTGGATCCTTCCGATGTACTCAACGACTGATTCTTGCTCTCCCATGCCTAAGGGTTCATAATGTCTCTGAAGAGATTGCAATCTGATCTTCTTGACTTTTTCAGAATTTGCATAGCCTTCTTGCAGGATATCCCAAACCTCCTTCGCCGTAACAGCTTTCGAGACTTTCTGGAAGTTAGCAGCCGACACACACTGGTGCAACAACATTCGAGTCTTGTAGTCCAACCTTGTATTCTCCTTGTGTTGTCTCTTTGCTTCTTCTGAATCTCCCTTCAACGGTTCTTTGAAGCCTTTCTTGACTATCTCGTCCACTTCTTGGAAACGCAGAATAGAGTCCATCTTAACGCACCAATCGTCGTAGCCTTTACCATCAAACACCGACAAATTACTGTGAACCATCCCAGCCATCACTACTCCACGAGGTTTTCTTCTTGAGGTGTTTTCTTTGGCCTTTCAACTTCACCAGGTTTCAAAACCTATAGCTCTTGATACCACTGTTAACACTTCTTAGTGTTTGAAGGAATGCAGCAGAGAAATGTAGTAAAGTATATGTGACACGAGAAGGAGAGAAAACAAGCATTCTTTTATCATTAACAAACAAAGTATATATGTACAACAAAAACAAAATTATAAAAGGTTAATATCATTTTAGAGAGTTTTTCTTTTATCTACAACAGTTACCTGTAGAAGGTACTATGATACCAAACTCAACAAAGATTCAACAATCTTAGTAATAAATGTGTATTAAATGTAACTAATCTATCACACTATCTCAAACCTATATTTATAGATTTCAGAATGAGCTTTAGATTAGTGTCGGGTCTAATTACGGTCCAACAAGAAATGATTGTGCTTTAACTTAAATTAATCACCATCAATCTTAATTCTTGTTTAAGGTTGACCACTCGATGCATATTATCTAACCGACTCTATGGGATATTACTGACTGGTTGGGTTGTATGGTCTTAAGCATATAGACGACCATATAGTACACATGCCTCATAAGCCTGAGCATATCTTGATACGAAAGGGTTTGTAGTGAAAGGGTTTTGTGCGTTTTGACTCGTTTCGTAATTGATTGGTTTGTAGTGGGTGATCACCTGAGACGTTATCCTAGGGATGTGTTAGTTGAGAGAAGTTACAACTGGTGAGAGTAGGACACGTGGCATAATGAAATTCATGCATCCCTTGAAACGAAAGGTCGAAAGGTGCGGACCATCATACCGTCCTTGATTTTTTACCAAGATCTATTTGTTGGAGTGCCCATTTCGGCTATAAATAGAGGTGAGACTCAACGTCGTTTTAACCGTTACTCTCCACTTTCTTTGTTAGAATTGAGCATTTCACACTTATCTTTCAGAGGTCATAATGTCGCCCGTTCTGCTATCTTCGTTTGAGGAGTCCAAAAGGAGGGGAGGCCGGGGTTATGCTGATAGTGAATCAGAGTCGTCAGTCGGGTCTTTCATCCTCGGATCAACTTTGCGGGAAGTGGATTCGGGTGACACAACAACGAGTATAAATATGAATAATGCCATTGATCAAGTCAACATAGGTGAGGTGACTACAATTGAAGTGGATGCAGCCAGGGAATGGACTAGGTCTTGCGTGCCTGTCCCGCCCGTTCTAGGGCATGATTGGGCTCCTCATAAGGTTGGGGAGTAGTGTCCTACTTCATCATGGGACGTTCCTGATAACAGTTGAAAAACTGTTATTTTCATGCTTAAAATTGACACAAAAAGCAACCTTTACACTTAGAAACTAGCTTGAAATCATGCTTTTATCCATATTTTCATAAATAAGAGAGCTGGACAGGTTTATGCTTGATTTCAGTGTTTTTGTGCAGGTTTTAAGGTGAATTTAGTGAAAGAAGTGAAGAAGGAGAGAGATGGAATCAGAAAAGTCAA